AAACAACAGCAAAGTATAATGATGAGCAACGCTAAACTGCAGCAAAGAATGATGTTAATGTAAAAGAGCAGATAAACGTTGATTTTAACGACAAAGTGCAGCTGCTTGTATGGAAAAAATATTTCTTTACAGGCGATCTCAAATTTTATAAAGTTCCCGAAACTGATGGTGAACAGGAACTAATTTTTAATCAAATTTTCACTGCAAAGCGAGGGTGAGTTATGATTGATGATTGATCGTAGAAATTTATTCGTTTATCGTATTTTCATTAGCTATCGTGACATGCTATAAAGAGCCAAACTTTGTCTACTAGGCGCATTTCATTGGAAACCCGATCAATTCTCTGATTTCTGTGATCCTATCTGCAAATTTTGCCTGAGTTTTGTATTTGAACATCTAAGCTGTTTTCCTAAAAGACGTATTAGGTTGTCGGACGTTTCTTCCCGCTTGCTTGTTTGCCAAAATTTTGAGAAGTATTTTGGGTTTCTGTATTCAGGACGAATGTAAAAGTTGGCTAATAAGGCAGTGCAGCACAAACGTGGCTATAAATAGCTAGCTTCTTGGTAAGTTAGCATCTCTGGATGTATGTATCTTTTACAAATTAGATGGTTTAATTTGAAATTTCAAAAATTGTTTACTTTGTTGAAAATTAAGTTTAAGATTCTGATCTCCTTCAAGTGACTATTTAGTCTGCAAAACTATACTGCAAAAAATAAAATTATGTTACCAGAATTTCCGTGAGATGCTCTTTCCAGTGTTAAAATTGCTGGCAAAAATTGTTGACAAATGCTTAAATGGTCGATGAGTTCACCATATCTTTTGTGTTGTAAATAAGAGCGGATATGAGAAACGCCAAACCGTAACAAGTATTGTTGCACAATATCAAATCGTGAAGGAGAATGATGATGAGCAACACCTAATTGTTGCAAAAAAAGTTCGTTGCGCAACACGAGTATGCAGATGAGTTATGATGATGGGCAACAACAGCATCACCAAACTGTAGCGGAGTATTGAGCATGGGTAATACGATATTCAGCAGTCATAATTCAGGAAATCCTCATTTATTCAGAGAACTGCTGAAAAACATTGTCGCCCAAGTCATGTTTGGTATGGCCTTCCGATATGCGTGGCCAGGTGCCGTAATGGCTTCCCTTGATACAAAACAAAAGCTAAAATCTCATTTATTTGAGCCTTCATCTTTAGAAAAGTTGAAATCATAGTTAAAGCTGTAATATTGCGTCTGACAATAGAAATTTAATTCTGATAAAGCGAATAGAACAAAGTAAGCAAGTGAATTGAAAAATAATGCAGATACCGGTATGATTTTTTTAGAGATTGCTGCATAACACGACGGCTTAAAAAATGCTTATAAATAGAGAGGAGTTCAGGTCCCTAGTTTAACCAATTCAACCAAAGTTTCTCCTTCAAACGAATTGTTGCATTGGGCTCGACATTGTAAACTACAATACCTGAAATCATTTGTTGTGGAGTTAAGCAAAATTACGAAAAAAAATTGTTGAAACATAGTTCGAGATCGTTGTTACAGTCTTGTTGGCATTAAGCCAATACGTCAAACGCAAAACGATACAAGCACAACGTTATGGGGAATGATTTGAAATTCTATGCGGTAAGGTTGTCGGCAACTCAAAGTCCATCGGGGTGAAGCCCCATTTCAAGTCATGATCTGTTGTGATAATGTAATCTTTCATTTCTTCTGTACTAACCGCTTCAGTAGTTAGAACCGTGCTTGCTAATATATCCCTATGTTGAATTGATGCTTTGCAAGGATTTAATAAAAAT